GGCACACGCCTTTAATCCCAGCACTTGGGAGGCAGAAGCAGGCAGATCTCTGAGTTCAAGGCCAGCCTGGTCTACAGAGCAAGTTCCAGGACAGTCAGGGCTACACAGAGAAATGAACAAACAAAAAAATTAAATAAATAAAAGGCAGGTACACATGCCAAATTCCTCTCAAGTTTTATATAAACACACAGATATATAATTTGTACACTTTCTTGTATAGCCAAATGAGCATGAAAACATTTAAAACTTATCACCTGTAAATAAATTCAAAGTACACCGTCAGGGGATGGAGAGATAGCTCAGCTGTTATTCACTCACTGTTCTTCAAGGGGAGCTCGTTCCCAACACCATGTCAGGAAGCTCACAACCACTTGCACCTCCAGCTCCAGGAGATCCGCTGCCCTCTACTGGCCTCTGCAAGCCACCCCTACCATACATACATACACACATAAATAAAATGAAAATACACTGCTGATACAACAAATTCCAAAAACTGGGTGTCTTTTTAAAAACTCCTTTCAGTCTGTAAATTATAAGTCCTACACTGTCTGCTCACCAGGCTTAAAATCAAGAAGTCAGAAGGACCGCATCCCCTTCCATTTCCAAGCTTTTTCTACTTCCTACGGTGGGCAGTCCTCATTCCGTGGCTATGGCCCTCTTCCACCTTGAATGCCAGCAACACATCACCCTACCCTTTTTGCTTTTCTCCATTTGTGACAGGCCTTGTCTGACCATACTAGGCCACGTGGACATTTCAGGCTAATGTCAATCTCTCTCTTTCTATTGAAAATAGATTTTTTTTTCCCTCTCACAGAATATATGCTGAGTATAGATTCCCCTCTCAGTTCCTCCCCTCTTCCCCTCCAATCTAGATCCATCCCCATTCTGTCTCTCATCAGAAAACAAACAAGCTTCTAAGGGATAATAAAAATATGAAATATAGTAAGATAAAACAAAAACTAACACATTGGAATTGGTCAAACAAAACAAAACCAGAAGGAAAAGAGCCCAAGAGAAGGCACAAAACACTGACCCATTCATTCACACAACTCAGCAAGCCATAATATATATTCAAAGGGCCTGCTTCGACGGCTGGAGTCTCCAGCTACTCTCTCAACTTCAGCTACTTACATCCTTAATTTCCCTTTGCCATTATGCACACCCACAGGTTCTGAGAGTAAGAACACACCTTTACAGGACGCTATTCCGGTCTATAATATTTCTATATATAATTTGCCATTAGCTAAAATTTGCATATTGCCATTCAAACAGTAACCAGTGGTTCTCATAATGACTTGAAATATTACCAGTGGCTCCTTATTTAACCATTTAAATAAATTAAGGCCAGAACAGAATCAAATAGCATGAATTACCATAAAACAGTAACTGCAAACTCAACTCACCCTTTCTAGTTTCTCAGGTCTAAGTTCTTCCTTATGACCACTGGCAGCTTCTTCTTCTTCTTCTCTTTTTTTCTTCTGGCTCTTCTGCTGACGTTCCCTTTCTGTGTGCTTTCTCTCTTCTTCTAACTTAGCCTTTTTCTGGGCTCTTCTTTGCTTGCTAAGCATTTTCTTCAGTTCTTTGGCTGACAGGATTTCTATAGATTCAAATGTGTAAAGCATGCCACTGTCATTTTCCATGTTTTGTCTTTTCTAAAATATATACTATTAATATATTTTTATTTTGGGGAGGGGATGGGGTAACTATGTAAAAGATTTTAGAAAGTATATTCCCTGTGACTAGCCAAACATGGCACACAAAAGGCAGCCATTAAATGCTGGTTACATTAACAACTAAAACGAATTCCAACTCAGCCCTGCCTCTGTGATAATTCCGCCTCTGTTAACTTGACACAATCTAGAGTCACCCGGGAAGAGTCTCAACGAGGGACTGTCTAGATGAGGTTGGCCTGGGCATGTCCGCGGGAAACTGTCTTGGCTATGTTAACTGATGTGGGAAGAGCAGTGCCACTTCCTGGTCGGAGTCCCGCACCACATTAAAAAGGAGAGAGTTGAACAATGTGCGTGCAAACATTCTCTCTGCTCCTGAAAGTGGCTCTGACCAGCTGCTCCAAGTTCCTACAGCCTTGACTTTCCTGCTATGATGGACCCTGACCTGGAGTGGTCAGTTAAAATGAACCCTTTCTCCATAAGCTGCTTTTCCCAGGGCAGTTTATCACAACAGGATACACAGCCTCCCATACAATAAGTAACAAGAAAATCACTTTATCCTCCTTAGTTTCAAGTTGCAAAACACGTACCAACTGTTTCAAGAGTGAGAGAATATATGTAACAAAACCTGTACTTCCTAGCTACTACATACTGGGCCTCTATTCTGACAATGGCAGTCCAGTGACTGAAATGTAAGAGGTATTCTCACTTTCAGTAAAGCAAATACCACAAGTTGTGAAAATATTTTTCCTGAGGTACTCAAAGCTTTTTTTTCCTCTTTTTTTTTTTTTTTTTTTTTTTTTCCGTTTTTCCAGACAAGGTTTCTCTGCCTGTCTTGGATCTTGCTCTGTAGACCAGACTGGCCTCGAACTCAGAAATCCGCCTGCCTCTGCCTCCCGAGTGCTGGGATTAAAGGTGCGCATCACCACCACCTGGCCACTCAAAGCTTTTTAACTTTTAATTAAAAAATATTTATTAAGCTGGGGGGTGGGGTGGTGCACACCTTTACCCCCAGCACTCAAGAGGCAGAGGCAGGTGGATCTCTGTGAATTTGAGACCAGCCTGGTCTACAGAGTAAGTTCCAGGACAGCCAGGGCAACACAGAGAAACAAAACAAAACAAAACCATTTATTACTACGATTGTGGCAGGGGAGGTAGAGAGGTTAAGATTGGGGGGGGGGGGGCGTGTCATGTATGAAGGTCAGAGGTTAGCCTTATAGAATTGGTTCTCTCCTTCCACCTTTATGTGGGTTCCAGGGATCAAACTCAGATCATGAGGTTTGTGTGGTGAAAATTTTATCTCCTGAGCCATTGCACTGGCCTCAAAAGCTTTTCTTTTCTTTCTTTTTGGTTTTTCGAGACAAGGTTTCTCTGTGTATCAAAAGCTTTTCTTCAATTACCATTTGAAGAAAGAAAATAGCCCATAGACATTTATTTATGTTCTTTCTTAACTGATGTTAAGAAAACAAAACCAAGAAAGACTGTGCTTGATGCTGTGGTATATACCTGTAACTCCACTTAGGAGGCTGAGGCAGAAACATCAAGAATTTGAGGACAGCTGAGCAGTGAGACTGGGGGGTAGCAGGAGGCATGCAAGTCATCTCACTGGGCTGACCAAGATGTATCTGTTACAGAACATCAGCCCCTGGCTTTATCTGGTCTCCCGGACTTTTTCCTAATGTGTCAATGAACCAATACTGTCTTCACATCCACTCGATCACATTCTCTTTTACTGTTGTTTTAGTTGTACAAACATGGGGTGAGGCAAGACAACTCAATACAGTATGTAGTGTGTAACTGAGTTAACCCTTTTTTCCCCCCGAGACAAGGTTTCTCTGTGTAGCCCTAGCTGTCCTGAAATTTGTTCTATAGACCAGGCTAGCTTCAAATTTAAAGATCTGCCTGCCTCTGCCTCCTGAAAGCTAGGATTAAAGGTGTGCACCACCACCAACCAGCTAACATTTTTATCTCCTTAATCATTTGACACATTTTCCTATGCAGTATGTGGTAATATTTTGAAATTTAGCATTCTTTTTAAATCTTTTCATTACCTGAATTTACGTCTTGTTGCTTGCTTTCACTGGTTAAAGGGTTATCATGTAATTTCAAATATATTTCAATTGCTGATCTAGCAGCCTTGAAATAAAAGGTGTGTCTTCTGAGAGTATCTTCTAATCTCAAGAGGTCAACATAAGCACGGAGGGTCATCTTTCTCATGCAGTATGTATGGAAGTCAAATTGTTCATCGGTTATCTCAAAAAAATGCTTAAAAACAAAAACCACAAGATTATCCCTTACATTTATATCAATAATAATTTTATTTTAAAAGAAAATTACAAAAAGCCCCAAAACAATACAGTCACAGCTGTACTTGGTTGCCCTTTCCAATGTCAACAACACAAAAGGCATCAAGTTCTCTGCATTCAACTTTAAGTGTCTTTTTTACAGCTGTGATATTCTGAACACACCTGATCTCAACTTACAGGGGTCTTCTAGAATCCACCCTATTTCCTCATATCATATTTTGTGATGCTACTCTACGCTGATAAGGCAAGTATCAGGTCATCTTTTAAACCTGGAAATTGATGCATGTCAATGTAGTTTTCCTCTGTACTCCCATAACAACGAGCAAGGCAGTGCTAAGCAACTTTGAAACTGACTTCACGCAGGCTCACACCAAACGTTTACAAATCTGACTAGCCTCGCCGCCCACAAGCCTCCTCTCCAGTGGATCTAACACAGCACAGAACCCACCCACGTGAGGTAAAGAGCTTAATAACAGGGCCTGTGAGTAAGTCTTTTATTTCTTAGTGCCTTAGTGATTTCATCTAAACTAGGAATACTTCTACACAGCCAGATTCTTAATGCGATTGTTCAAGCAACACATTTTAAAGTTTATTCTTCTTAGCAAAGTACTACACAAAGATAACATGACTTTTCCCTAGTGAAGAGGCTCCCATTAACATACTCATCATATTCCATACATTTTAAAATCTTAAGTCATAAGGTCTTCCTAACAAGCAAGCTCAATGCTTTCATCTAATTTCCAAAGGACTTATATCCCCACCCCCAAAAGGTTATGCACTAATTCCTTTCATGAAAACAATACAATTCACTTCTGATCTACATAAAACAATTTTATAATTTAGTTTTCTCCCTGACATATATTTATACCTCTGATTCTCCACTCCACTTTGGTTTCTCCAAACTCATATACAAAAATTAAGTACTTCATATTCCCTCAAGGGAAAAGGGTGCTGAGGGTGGTCTAGCAACTCACTGTGCAGAGGATATATCAGCAATTGTCTCTAACCACTTGATATTTTTAGTCATCTTAGTAATTAGAAACATTATATATACAGAATCACACTAAATACCTAAGAGTTTAAGAGAAGAATTTCAAGAATAAAAGTAAAACATGGAGACAAGAAACAGAAAAAATAAACATTTCATATTAGTTCATAGTTATTAGAAAATCATGTTTTAATGACATTTGAAAATTAATTTTTTCCAATGAGATAAATTAGTAACGACATTAATTTGATTTATTTTTTAAAAATCAAAGGCTAACATATTTCATAAAGTTGCCAGTGCTTTTCCTTAATGTAAACCAAGCTTACATAAGAGTAATACATTAAAATTCAACACAGCTGGCGAAGGGAAACAGAAAGCTAAGTCATAGAGCACACAATAAGATGAAAACATCTAAGGGACGGTGAGACATGGTCTCGGGTGAGAAACACATGAGAAGGAGACGACAAGCTTCCACAGATATTCCTAGAAACATCAGTAGACACGGAGTTTAAGTCACATTTCACAAGTCATCTGGGACCACACTTAATCCACCTCTATCAGTGACAGCCCACAGGCTGCCTCTCTCCAGTTGATGTCTTCTATAAACTGGGTGACCAGCGTAGCCCAGTTTACCAGAAGTCGTCTGTTTTTCCAGTGAATACACTGCATCTTGGAACCACTCAACCAAAGTCAAACCTGGTATTTACTTACTCCATATAGCTCTTGGTAGTTAACAAAACAAAACAAAACAAAACAAAACAAAACAAAACAAAAAACAAGGCTGGGTGAAATCAGAAAAGGCAGGGCACTGCGGAATACCACACAAGCAGCTAAACAAATAAGCTTAAACCCTTTCTCCCTGCCAAGCAGACACTGCTAGCAGGTGGTCAACAAAACTAAGCTTGACCATGAACTCTCTCAACAAAACAAAAACAAACCAAACTTGGGCTTGAATTAAGACTACTTGGCAAAGAATTAAGAAAATCCATCAGAGCTTTAGCGTATGACTTTCTTCTGGAATTCTGTGTGAGGCCCTCTCTTCTGGTCACTTTCCTGTTTGTCATGTCTCTGAATTCTAAGAACTTAATACACAGAGGAGGAAAAAATGCCTATTCTTGAAAATGGTGACTAGATCAACTTTTCATCTCTAAAGGATCTGTTATAAACCATGTGACAACTTAGAAAGGATGCAACAGGTTTTAGAAATCCTAGATTATATAGAGTTAGAAATACATATAATATATGTATGCAATATATACTGCATGCATATAATATACGTATATGCAATATATATTGCCCTGACCCAAATATAAACCAGCACACTAAAAAGAAATCCAGGTCAATATTTTAAAAAAGATAATTTAGAATATTGTTATGAATATAAGCTTATAGTTAGTACTTTGAAGACAGCTGCTTTGTTTAGTAAAACTTAAGCATCAGATTGGACTAGGCCCCACGACCTTTAATGATAATTTTAAAATCCACTTAGAGGGCCAAAATGAAGACAGAAAAGGTACTGTGGACATTCCAGAATGCTAAGATTTCAAATCTTTTAGGAGCATGTGAAAGCTGAAACTGCTTTCAATGAAAGTTCTTCACTGAAATCTTGAAAGCAGAAAGACTTGCTCCTTAAATTTGTTTCTTAGCTTTATTTCTATTTAAAAAATAAGCCGGGCGGTGGTGGCGCACGCCTTTAATCCCAGCACTCGG